CGCAGCGAGAAAATAGTCTACTTAGGTTGTTCACTAATTTTCTTCTTATTTCCAAGATGAAGGATTTCTTTGTTATTTAATTAAAAAATAAGATAAATTACAAATTTCTCCATTTTTGTCTACTTTAGAATTTAAAGAAATATGCTTGTTACAATATTGAAAATAATTAAAGTATAATACTTTATATATTTGTATTAATCTGCTAATTAGATAAAACACATGTAATAATTGCATTGTCCAGAAGCTGTTTATTACACATATTAATCAGATTAATTGCCCTTTGTTTTTACAGCTAATTATTTTTATTTCTATAAACTTATTTTGTATACTAATTTGACAAAATGATTGTGTGCAAGGATTTCAAACATGTATACCTTCATGTGAGTCACTAAGTCTGATATCACTTTCAAACTTCCATATATTTTAGAAGTACAATGATGGCAATTTGCTCTAAAATTGTCATGAGGATCTGTTGGTTTCTCATTAATAAATGTGAAATAAATATTATTTTACAATTAATATTAACATAATTTCTTATGATTAACACTAAAAAAGTACATGTAATTGAAATAGTATTGACAAGTAATTTAGCAGTACATGCTTTTTTCAATGTAATTAATTAATTTACCATTACATGTAATTTAAAAAATACTCAATTACACATTACATTCAATTACATGGAAAATTGTAATGCATTACACTTAATTGCCATTGCATTTTCAATTACCCCATCCCTGCTCTGAATCTATACCAGTAAAGATGGAAAGAACTTTTGAAAATGGAATAGTGTGAATCAATTCAGAAGCTCTTTTTACTGAAGACATACACATAAAATACACCATCTAAACCATGCAAGAAACAAAATAGCTGACTACAGGGCGAATGAAATGTAAATAGGCTAGACTAAATTAAAGACCACAATTAATTTTATTGCGAAACACTTTAGATGTTGTTAACAAAAATTAAATGCAAACATGAATAATGCAAATTTGAAGACAGCAATAATTTACGCCGGCCCTTGGTACCTTTAAACCACATAAACGAATTTGAACAGCTCTACTGCAAACAAATTCAAAATAGGAATTTTTAAGATAAAACAGTTGACAATTCAGAAACCAAAAGACATTCGGTATTCGGACTAAAAAGTAGTAAATGAACAGCATTCAATTAAAAGTAAAGCAGTGACATATGTTTTCGCAATTTTTAATCTTTAAATACCAGTAGAGTCGTTCGATCTGTAATTTTACAGATTTTGTCCTATTCCACATAGTGACATTTTGACTTAGTGTGAATTCACATGGCAGGTGATGAATGCAAGTGGTATTTATCCTGGTATTTATCCTGTCGACCAGGGTTTATTCTGGCTATTCCTACATTTTGAATTTTATAGGTAAATTTATGTTGGAGTTCCCAGAATTTTTATGTAAACAATGGAATAATGTAGGATTATGTTGTAACAACACTAAACTAATGAACCAAGGTAAATCCAGGTAAATCTTGTGGAAAATAAATAAAAAGAATAGTTTCCATTACAATATTTTACTTAATAATTTCATAGCACATTTTGTGTAAATAATATTCATAAGCACAATATGAATTTATAGGCACAAGGTTATACACAAGCAATTGAAATTATTTAGGTGAAAATTTAATATATACAAGTAAATAATATAGACTGAAATACAAATATATTAAAATTGAAGTAATTATTTCTTGAAACAAAGCACTAAATATTTAGTTAAACTACATATTCATTGAAACAAAGCACCGAAAAGTACACTAAATTTTACATTAAAACAGAGCATTAACACAGTTATACATTGCACTAAATTGAACACACAAAAGAATACAAAGTCTTAATCAATATGCAGGAGATGAGAAGCAGCATCTCCATACTGGACTGGCGTAAGTTCATCATTCTGTAACCTTGTTTTTAGTGTTTGAATATAAAAATAAGAAGATGTGGTATGATTGCAAATGAGACAACTCTTCACAAGAGACCAAATGACACAGAAATTAACAACTATAGGTCGACGTACAACAATGAGAAAAGCCCACTTCGCATAGTCAGATATAAGAGGCCCCGAAATGACAAATGTAAAACAATTCAAATGAGAAAACTAACGGCCTAATTTATATACAAAATAATGAACAAAAAAACAAATATGTTACACAGCAACAAACGACAACTACTGAATTACAGGCTCCTGACTTGGGACAGGCACATACAGAATGTGGCGGTGTTAAACTCGTTTGATGGCGCCAACCCTCCCCTAACCTAGGACAGTGTAGTGTCAGTACAACATAAGTACACACTATAAAAATCAGTTGAGAAAGGCTTAACTTATCTGATGAATACAAATAGAAATACATCTAACAAAAACACAGCGTGGACGTGGACGGGTACTTATACATCCCCACAACAAAATGACACTAAGTACAGATCTGAGAGTACTCGCAGTTACTGACAGCTAGTTCAAAGCCAATAACAACAAAGTTGTCATCTATTTCTCTGTATTTTCTCTTTCTTGGAATACGTTTCCCACCGGCTCTGTATTGGATAAGTGTGAGAGCATGGAAGGCTTCTTCTTGTCTCAAAAACTTGATCATGCTGAAGATGTTTGGGTGAGGTGCATTGACTAACTTCTTCAGTTAACTATGCCAACCTTCTAAATGATTTGTTGTTCTAGGATCTTCTGTTTTTGTTAACAAAATCATAATTTATTCAAATAATGAAATTAATTAAATCTTTGAAGCTAATGTTGGAAGTGTAAGTTACCATTAAATGCTTTAACTACCTTTACTTTTGAATAGTTTTTTTTCCAGACTTTTAAATGCTTTTACTACTTTTTCTTTAAAATAATTTTATTTTCCAGACTACAAAATGCTTTTACTACCTTTTCTTTTAAATAATTTTATTTTCAAGAAATTCCATATTCGAAACACTTAATTATAACACTGGATACATGTTTTCCAAAAAAAAAAAAAAGACAACCATTTTTGTACATAAATGTCATATAAATAATTATTTTTATTTAATTTACCTGTGACCTAATTAGACACTAATGACTAAACAACATATTTTGCATTAACAACATCTATTGTTCTTCCCATAATTTCCCATGTAGGAATAGCAAAATACAAAATGTAGGAATAGCCAGAAGACATCGACGACCAGCAGGTCTTGCTCCTTTTTTGCGATTCCTTTAAGTTTGTTACCTTGATTTTTCACTCCCTAATCGAATTACGGATATAAACATCTGTAAACTACTGTCGCCTTAATTAACACAAATAAATATTTGAACATCGAATACCGTTTTCCTATCAGATGAATTAAAATCATTTCGAAAATTAAATATTGAATCAACCAAAACAATTAAAACAAAAACGATTTGTGCAGTTTTAATTATTCTAAGAATTATGAATATAAAAAGATACTCCGGCGTTAGCCAGCAGGAACGATATAAAATTGATTAGTTATAAATCAACCAATAATAAATTTGCATGAGAAATTATAATTTGTCGTACAACATGGATATATAATGAAGGAAATTGTATGATAGAGAAAATAAAATAATAATAATAATTTATTTAGTGAATAAATAAACGAAATTTTTGAATGAATTGAAATATTATATCTGAAATATATAAATGACATTGCTTAAATATTTTATCCGTAAATTTTATGGACACCATCACGAATTGGTTGATCTATACGATGTGTCTGTGTCTAAACTAACTAATGACATTTTTACCACGTCTTAGATTGTGGTTTTACATCTATGTCGTCTGTCTGCTAAGTACCGAACGTGACTTATTCCCAAATTTGACTGTTATACCGAGTGTAAATTTGCATTGCTATACAACGTGTCTCGGTATTTTGTACATCCAACATTCATGTATTTATTTTTTATTGTTTCTGTTATGGTTCCGGTTGGATAATGTGTTATGTTCTATCGTTTGTAGTCCAAATAATCATAAAATAGCCTTTCAATACCATCATTGTCATGAAAATTGTTTGGACTGGTATTGTGAAAATAATTGTACAAAGTTCGAGATTGCATGTTCGTTACGTAAGTGCGTCACTGTTTGTGATGTCCTGTGGTGTCTGTCGTTGACGGAAGATGTTCGTTATTGTTCAGTGACATGCATGTTGTGTCGACTATTATTGTTATTTATTTGTGCGTTTCTCTGCGATGAGTGTTCTTGTTCTTGTTTGTGCTGTATTTTTGTCACGTAGTGTTGTCATTTTAGCGATATTTTTTTAACATTGTCATATAAGCGGGAGGTTTGGCTAGCCATAAAACCAGGTTCAACCATACACGGTGCATTTTTTCAACAGTATGTTGATTATCTAAAACCGGTTTAGAAAATAACAATAAGACGCGCAACACAGTAAGAGTTATGATCAACACATATCATCAATTATACATCGCTGTTCATAATAAAATTGAAATAGACAAAATTATAAATGACATAATCTTACATCATTTATTCCATTAAATAAAGTAGACTAAACTATAAGAGGAAAACAAAGTAAGAACAGGAACACTGAAGTGCAACAAAAAAAAATGCCAACATACATAGACACGAACTATTTGATAACAACTGCCATATTCCTGACGTGGTACAGGACATTTTAAAAACTGTCAAGGACATTTGAAATTCAGTAACTACTAACTTTATTAGCTGCAATGAAATTTATAGAAAGCTGATTGATCGGAGAAAGTATATTTCCGAATTTTCTAGAATTAAACAGGCAATTCATAAATTTTAGGTTGGCTCGTCAAGTGATCGTGCATTCTTTGTAAATCATCTTACGGAAGGTCGGACTGACTATTATGACTCTCCCTATGTGAGTCATCGTTGTTCGAAGTTATGCACTGGTGTGACATTAATTTTTAAGTCGACCTATATCATACAGTATAGATCAATTTGAGTTTCATCACTCTATAAGGATTGTTTATTTTATATATTTTTTGTAGTAATAAAAAAGTAAAAGTTTTTACAGCACGTATTTATTTTACTATCCGTTGATTTTTCCTTTCAGTCTTTGCAATTGAAGTGTTTTCCTTTGAACTAAAAACCTATAAATAAAAAAAAACATTTATAAATCATTATCGGTCTATACATTTTAGAAATATAGCGAATAACAACCAATTCACATTCAATTATCATACACTGTTCTTTTACGAAAGCGTTCTTTCTAAACCCGTACAGAAATTGCTAACAAAAGGACATAAGTTTCACATGTGAATCACATAAGATGCAAGTAAGAATTGTATGCAAATCAGAATGCTAACATGTGCAGTTTGGTAGTTCATATGTGCCCCAAAAAATCTAACATAATGTTCATATGTGCAATTCAAACCTCAGGTGAGCTTTTATCATCTATGTTAGTTTTATGTTTTGTACTTAAAAAGTTTGTCCATTCTTCTAACCATTTAAAACTTACGTAGATCATTGCTCATATGAGCTTTTTCAAAATGACTTGCCCAGTCATGTACTTGCTGTAAATTCAAATGCAAAGCATCAATTTGGAGGAAGATGGAGATGAAAAATTTCAAGCCATACTTTTGTGCTATTTGAACTATGGCATTGTTTGAATCTGATAAAATCAGTGTGGCTGTGGTTAGTTATTTGTAAGTTAACATTTCTATTTCATCATGTTCATTTTTGTTTCAGATTCTTAAATATATTACTTTTTTAAGTCCTTTATGGGAGTATGCAAGTGCTTCAATAAGTACTACATGTATATAGATAATTCCTGCTTTTGAACTTTCTGAAATACAGTACTTAATAAAAGACATTCAATATGTACTAAAATTGTAGGTCACTGCACTAGTTTTATAATGTAATGTAATGTTTTTAGTCATTATTGCTTAAAGAACAAAAAGGATAAAATAATCTGAAAATCATAACTGACAGTAATAAAAAATAACACTCTAAGCATGATGTGTCATATTTTTCTTATTTTTAATTATTCAAGATTTTTTTTATTAAATTTGAATAATTATCCTATTTTGAAGCAGCCATTTTGTTCATCATCATCTGGAAATTATGAGATAACAAAATCAAATGGGTCAACAAATTTTCACGTGTGCAAAATGTGAGCAGCTGCTCATATGAGCAATCTGATAAAATGCACATGTGAAACAAAAGCTTAAAAATTAAACATGCATGTCAAAAAAGCTAGTTTATTTTGATAATCCAAGCAAACTTTCCTTAGTGACAATTGCACATTTTACTTCCCTAACTAAACGGTACTAACAAGTTGCACATAAGATATAACGTTAGAAACTAACGTGATTGCAAATGAGATTTTTAACATGCAAATTAGGTTAGTCTTATAGTTGCAATTTTTTTGCTCACAAAATGCTCACCTAATTTGCATGTTAAAAACCTCATATGCAATCATGTTAGTTTCTATCGTTAGATCTAATGTGAGCATCTTATGTGTAACTTGTTAGTACCGTTTAGTTAGGGAAGTAAAATGTTCAAATGTCCATAAGGAAAGTTTGCTTGAATTACCAAACAAAACAACGCTTTTTGACATGCATGTTTAACTTTTGTTGTTTTAATGGTTTGATTTTGATGATATATAACAGTGCATGTTTACTAAGTATAACTGATGAAAATATTCCAAATCAAAGATACTATTTTACTAATAAAAGAAGTTTGAATTTGAAGCAGTGTCATTAAAATAAACACCAATACAAGCTGTTCTTCTGAAATTGGATTTTTTTACCTTCAAATATGATAGTTTGCTGCGAATTGAATAGATTATGAACATTATAACTTACAAAAATTACTTTCACATATGTAGCTATATTTATTAGTACAATAGTGGTCCAACCAGTAGGCCTCTGTATTGCTGTTGTACATGACACAATTACTGTTTGAGCCTTTTGAACCCCAGCCACCTGATGGAAACCAATTTTTATATGTCATGAGGGACTGGTCATAACTCCAACGAAACTGGCCTTCCTTAAGATCTGTCAGTCCTATCCAGTAATGTATATTTTCTGTCATATGAAAATATTTTTCTAATGATGATAGATTTACAACAAAACATTACTGGCTCAATACCACAGTTAGTAATTTCATGGCTTCAGTCGCATGAATGCAAACATTATATTCATTTGAAAGTGTATATTCCAAACTGTTATATGCATGTTTATACTGTAGCTAACATCAACAAAATCAACCACATTTTATGTTTGAGCATAAATGTGAAAATCTATGCCTATGCATGTAAAAAACAAGTCAAATAAGTAAGTGTAAATTCTGTTAATCCAATTACTCCTTAGGATTAGATACTAATGCTTGTTTAGCATAAATATTAAATCTTTTGTTTAGGCATTAATCGGAAATATGTAGATACGTCTGAACCAGAAACGTATTAACTTGCAACAACTCTATGGTAACTTATGGTTCGGAAATGGTATATTTTTATATATACAATTCTTTATCTTTCACATATATCGTAAAGGATGACAATGTTACTTGTCTTGTAGTGTCATACATCTTTGGCTTAAACAAACCTTTTGTTTTTCAAACATACCAAGTATCATGCATGTATACTGACAACACATTGGGTAGCTGTATGACCAGTAACATGTTACATATAAAATAATGCCCTTTTTGATTTTGATATTGACTTAATCAGCAAAAATATCAAGCGAGCCTACAAGAGCGAGATGACATTCGAGGTGATGAAGTCAGTATAAAAAATAAAATGCCACTATTCTTGTGATCGGCAATTTATTCTAAACAATAGGTTTTTTGTCTGAGAAAATGTAATAAAATGAAATAGTAAGTAAAACTATTTATACGCGTAGAAAACGTTGGGATAGTTGTTCGGTTGTATGAATGATGTCGCGTGCATTTCATAGATAAATTGACACGGATGGAAATGAACGCGTGACGTTGCTGCTGCGCTGTTATGTCACGTCATTGTCTAATATTTTCGAGTATCAATCCTGTCCATGATATAGACACATATTAGGTAGTAAGATCAAAGGGAAAGTACACATATTGTCGATAAATGGAAATATGAACGAACTGATCATGTATACCATAGCTACCATATATCATAGTTGTACCCTAAGATTAATCGACGAAATAAGGCAATATCTGACAAACGAAAGATTTATATTTTTCAACTGAGTTGGCCAGTTAGTCTAATGAGTGGGCACTTTATAAATGGTGTAGCCCTTGAAGTCAAATACCACTGAGAGAGCGGTATAAATTTACAATAGCATAAATGTAGTTCTTACATGTTTGTGATTGATTCATGGCGATCTATATAAAAATATATATTTTTAAGAAGCTGTGTGATAAATGGTCAGTTGGATAATTGGAATTCAATTGGAATAACAACTGACTAGAAGTTCATAGACTACTAACTCTTGACCATTATGCTCAAGCTAAACCTTCAGTAAAGATGAGTATTTAATGAGTAATCCTTAACTACGGTAAAAAATCACATTAATATAATACGATGCTAAGTTTTGCTTCACAACTTCACAACCACAGATGATAGACTTGAAGACATACATGTATATAACAAAGACAGAACGTACTAATTTTTTTCACGCATATATTTGATTTCACAAATAAGCTTTAAAAGTGACTTTCAGGTTTCTATTTGAATAGATTTCATACGTGGTATACATTGTTGGTATAGGCATTGTTGTTAAATTTTGAAACACAAAAAAATTGTTTATAAAAATGGTTATAATAGGACAAATTGAAGAACAGATATTTTGATTTTTAATGAATCACATTTTGTCTTTCAAAATTATTTGCTACGTAATGCTAAAATGCATTTATTGATTTGAATTGATTTTCCAAAGTTTCAGAAAGGTGGGTGAAATATTTGTCGATTAACATTAAACAATAAATAATAGTATCAGTGACAATAAATAAAAGAAACATTACATTGTCATTTTCGGGCATCAACGATTTGATGAATATGAGAGCAATTTAATTATCAAAATATTTACTTTTAGGCCGTTTTGAAGCTATCCAGCTGTTTTCTGAACTGTCGCCAATTTTGACAATATATCCACCAATTTCTCTGCATTTCCTCTACAAAGATTCCAAAATGGCTAAGACAGACAATGTTATAAAATCATAATTATATAGTAAATACACTAAAACATATTGTATTTATGAAATGGCTTTCATTAATAAATAACCGAACGTTTACTTTTTATAAGTACCAAATTGTCACTTGTGGAACAAAAAGTGCTTATTCTTAGATCTTCTATGTTTCCAGGGGATTCGTGTTTCTTTTTATATTTCTGCAAAGAGTAAGGCGAATTATTGATTTTCTTTTTTTCCTTTAACCATGGTGTTAAATGTCCCTTTTCAACTTGTTTCATTATGTGTATTCTGAAAGCCTTGTAAACAAAAAAACATCCTTTGAAGCACCGGTTTTCGGAACTACAATACAATCATACGGTTTGCCTTTGTTGCCATAACGTAGAATTTTTTCATCGATTATGTTGAGGATTGCAAGCAAATCAGCCTATTAAATTACGTGCATAAAAAAGTTGTCTAATGGGTCAGGTTTATTTGATTGTCTTTGTCAAAAATGGCCTTTTATATCTGACTACTATGCGGTATGGGTTTTGCTCATTGTTAAGGCCGTACGATGACCTATAGTTGTTAACTTTTATATCATTTGGTCTCAGGTTGAGAGTTGTCTCGTTGGCAAGCATACCACATCTATATTTACACTTTTGAAGCGTAGATTACCGATGTCATGCATTGAATATAGAAGAAAACAATCAATGCATGTAGTAAGTATAATTCCTATTTGTTTGTTAATTTCCTGTTAACTTGGACTAGATATCAAAGAATAAAATAAAATGTGTCATGTTTCTAAAAAAAACGTTATTAAATGCCCATAACAACTATTGGAATCAAATGATTTCAAAAATAACTTGTCGGATTCATTGCAAACCACATCAAACGTTTCTGATATCAAACACACTATATAAACACCTAGTCTTTTTCCATGTACTTGTCTGCTTGGTTGTCCTAAACTTTATGAAAAAACATGTTGGTCAATTTCATTTTTTCCATTACAGAATGTAACTTAAGTGTTTTTCTCGAATAACGTTTATTTGTAACATGTATAGTAATTTGACATTTATCATCACCCGAAAACGTATTAAAAAAGAGAAGGATTATTATGCAATTACTGTTTTTTGATGGGGTAAATAAATAAACTCATCAAACATACCAGGCTTTTATTGACTTTTGAAAAAACTTATATTCACTGAGGCCAATACCCGTTTTTTAAAAGTCATACAAACCATGCATTTACCGAAACAAAACACAGTACCACATCTCCTTACTTCTATACAGTAATTGTTTTATGATATATTCCGAGAGAGGAAACATGTATTTAATGGCACTTATTTATCACAATCAATTGTACATCACTTATTTTACAATGTAAAAACACGTGACGTTTACGCGGTGATTATCACTTTTCTTCAGGTGAATATGCTGTTTTATTCAAAATCAAATTCATATAGAAAAACCTACTAAAATAAAGCCAGTATGCAATATCACTTTTATCAAAATAGAAGGTGAGAGGTCAAGTCAACTAGTATCTGTAATTGTCTTTTTACAATTAAAAGATATATTTTGTTTTTAGGTTCTGCAATAAAAAAAACTGCAAGCACTTTTTTTCGTTGTCTGTGTTCAAATTTTGAGACTAATTTATATCCGTGAAATTGTATCATGTGCACATACATTTATATTATAAATTTTTAAACAATCATCGTAGCTTCTAAGCAGCGATACTTAACTGACAAGTATTACGTTAAGCTTTGTTTGCTTTGTACATTAGTAGGTTAACATAAACCTATAAAAAGTACACCATTAAATAGTGTGCCTTAACGTAGTTATTGAAGCTATTCATATAAATGATGTGACTAGAAATAGAAAAAAAATGCAATCAACCTTATTTAATATTAACATATCTGGAAATAATGATTATGCATGAGTAAGAGTTAGGATATGTATCCATTTGTAAGTCCTTCAATGTTGTTTGTGTCGGTTGTAAAAAAATAACAACATTTGTGACATGAACTGGTGTTTAACGTTATATAAGCTGGTTTGCAACTGATAATAATTCTAAATATAGGTTACCTCTGATGTAAACCAGTCGAGGTTGTCTGTTCCGAAATAATAGCAATGCCCATTGTATTTCTGCCACTGTCTTGCTTTTGAGTAAATTAAAGAAGAAAAAAATGTATTCTTTAGTTGACAATTTCAGTAATCTAATACCTTGTAAATGTTAAAACTTTGTGTCATCGATTTGCATAACCACCGATTTCTTTTTCGATCCTAATTAAACAGTTATTTTTCTATGCAACGTCAACGAAGAAGGTTTATGTCGTCATGCAATTCTCGATTTTTCATCTTCGTCTTTTTATTAGTTTCACATCTTTTGTAATACATTTTATTGAATATCTTTACTTATTAAAGTAAGCAACTGCAAAAGTAGATAATATATTTAGTTTAAACACATGGAACAGTTTGACATCTTGAGCAAGTACTAGAAAACTAGGGATGGACAGAAAGTCATATAATGAAACAATTGTTGACTTTTGATATCAGTTGGTACAATGATTTATCCACCCTTGAGATATGACATGCACAAGGGTTGATAAATTATTCTATCAACCTCATCAAAAATCAATAATTGTATATTATTCCATATATTCATATCGATTAAAATATCATATAGTATTCATAAATATGATATTATAATCTGACACATTGCTTTATCATGTAAGTGTTGTATAATGCAAAAAGCGTTGGAAAAAACAGCGTTCGTATCTCCAGTTAATCAAAATAATAATAATTATATACTCGTCAACGGCTCGTAAAGTGTATTAACTTGAATAAATCGAGGTGATATCAAGCGATCTCCAATTCTCAACCGTTACGTAACCTTTCAATCACTTTAATTATTCGGTAAACATAAAACATAGACATAATATAAGTGATGTATATAAAAAGGAATCACATGATATAGCATGCCCACATGAAGGTTGGTTCTAAATTTCAGAAAGCCTTGATTTGTAGATTCTGGGAAAAAAGCGATTAAAATTGTATGTGACGGACGGGCTGACAGGCGTAAACCAGTATACTTTAGTATTCCTTAGTTTATAGGATGTTAAGGTAGTTTTAAAGTTGAAAGTAAAATTAATAAAATTATTGTGAAATCATGCAGTTGGTGACTGAAAGCCGCATGTAGTTTTCTTGCAATTACAAATGCATGCAGAAAATCTATTGATTGTTCTTGATTTTTCTGATACAAAATAATCTCAAGGCAGTACACAATCGATTACTAAAGAAAAAAAAACTTTGGGCCTATGTGCTTGTTGGTTTGTTGTTGCTAAAAGAAAAAAAATCATTTTTAAATGCTAAAGATAACATTACTATTTTCGTGAAAAATAACATCGCAGTGTATTGTTAATAGAACATTTTTCAATCAGTATACAATCGACTATAAGGGATAAACAAAATGTGTTTCCATGTGATGGTTTTTTGGGGCTTAAAGCAGAAAATCTAATTTTTTAATACCATAAAAAGAAGCATGGAATGTTGACAAAAAAAAAATAAGCAGAAAATAATCAATAAGGACCAACACGAATTATCATATATTTACCTATATAATTGGTATAAATAAGTACTGTTGCTATCGTAAATCAAAAACTTACCCTTAAAATCACTTTCTATCAATTTTAAATCATTGTCAAGGGTTTTAATCTTCCCATCCACATTCTTTATATGACTTTTTAACGTAGCTACAGTTTTCTGTACATCGGTTTCCAAAGTATTAACAGTTCTATCGAGATATGATTTTAAAGCAGTGAGAGCTTTCCTTGAATCGTCAAAATCTTTTTTGGATCCAGTAGTTAGGCATGGTAAACTTAAGACATCATAAGGAAGAAACACAAGTACCAATAGATACATCATGTTCATCATGTTACTGAAATAAAGTTGTTTTTTAAGAAAAAAGGCTATTTTTCTATACTTTTTTGGTAGAAAACAAGAAACATAAGTCGAACTCAAACAGACAATATAGTGTCCAAAAAGAAAAACAACGGAAAGATAAACTACAGTTTACAAAACATTACTTTGAAAACTTAAAACACGAACTCAGCAAAACACCAGCCGTGAGAGTTAGTCGCAGGTGCTATGTAAGAGTTAGCAAATTCTGCTCCCTTGTGGTACCTGTACTATTTCTCAGGATGTAAACCGTCTGTAATAAGTCGCATTAAAATGTATCAATCACAATTACCAAATGTCCAGCGTTCAACGATAAAGGCCATATCTGGAAAACTTTATCTGTTAATGTTTATTTATTGAGAAAAAAATCTTTTAATAAGTAAGAAGCGGGCTTTGAAATAAATTTCAGTAACAGCGAGTACCGTTAGCTTGACAAGGAGTCTTGTAAAAAAAATGAATTAGTACAAGTTTGTTTCCATTGGTTTAAAGTTTTTCTCCAGGAATGTAATGATACATATGTGCCATACATAAATAACAGGACATCCTTACATGGCAGGCTGTAAATTTTAGGCGGGTATCTTGAGACTAGTTTTCTTGTGTTAAATTGTGACATTTCATCATCTATCATGTGTATGTGTGATTTTGAATGAACTATGATCGTTAATGATTACTCTGACTTAGCATATGGACAGAAAGGCAGGAAAACGTAAAAAATCTCATCAAAGATACCAGGCTTATAATTGTGTTTACCAGACGCCCGTTATGTCTACAAAAGATACATCAGTGACGCTCGAATTAAAATTTGTTAAAGGCCACAAAGTATACAAAGATGTAGATTATTCAGGGAAAAAAATTCAGAAGGTTTTGCCAAATACAATGTAGGGAGGTCGCCAATGCGATTATCGTAACGTAATGATTTCCTTGCGACGGCAAAAATATCGGATTTTACCCAAGTTCAATTACTTTGAAAAAGGTGAAAAATATATTGTATGAGCACAAAATTGATATGTAATTAAAGTTCAGACATTTATCTTTCTAAATATATAAGTTTTATGGGTATTGCAGTGATTTGGTTCGATAAAAAAATGTTTGAAGTGGAGTTGTTTTGAAAAAAATGGCCGCCGGAAAAACTATGTGTCAAAGGTACTACTGATTTCAAATTCATTCCGCAAGCTGTTACTCGTCAGATTTTCTTCATTGATGGCTTAAAATTTTGGACATATATTCAAGTTTTATGATCCGGTTGTCAGTCATACTTAGCGGTCGATTTTCAGTATAGATATGAAAAATCTTTGTAATAGATGTGAAAAAAAAATCGTTTACGACTTTGTAAACACCATTGACACTCAGATTCATAAATTCCAGAACTTTCTCCTTCCACACGTATCCATGGTTTCACATGGAAAACAATAGCGGTCTGCGGAATTGATTGGATATTTGTATGAGCAGGGCGTGGTTTTCACGCAAAAAATTTGCGAAAAGAGTTGTCTGTTCTTGACTTCCGGAAGTGATGTATCCGCCATTGTGTCTAACATGAAATTTGAAACTTGTAACAAAATGACTTTTACCGACTATTTTTTTGGACGGACTGCTTACTGAAAGGGCAGACAACGTTGGAAATAGGCCACGGAGGCCAATCACGTATGGTAAGTACCTTTATTATATCTTATATTAGCAAATTTGTCTATTTCTGGGAGGGGAATTCCTTGTTTCATAAAAGTCAACAAAAATAACTTTAAATTATTTCCAAGGTGTATTTTTTTGTTTAAATATATTAAACTTATTAAATGAAAGGGACTTTCTGTCAGCAATTTTTTTTAAACGCTCCCCATGGCCTTTTTATCAAGCTATGAATATGTAATGAGGTAAATTCTCCTAACGTTGGAATGTGATCCGTTCGGAATTTCTCGGGTTTTATTCATTGATAATACTCGGATTTTTCGGTGCTTTACATTGCATTTGATGATAGTTGGTACAATTTGAACACATTACATTTCTTTTATTCATTTTGAGACAGAAATATGTTGTTTAAACCATAGATTAGTATATTACCAACTATATATTTATTCTAAACCTATGGATTAGGCATAATGAACTAAAATTTTCTTTTTCAAAAATGCTTTCTGTCAAAAATGTATATGACAGTTTGGAAGAATATATTAGCACACATTTAATACATGTACATCTATATTTATGATTTTTCAACAGTAGCATGAGTATGTTATTTTAACTAATTGGTCATAATAAACAATACTGTAGATGTTTTCTTAAATATGCACACTGTTTAAAAAGAATTTTTGTTGATATTTGCATCTTTTATTTATATTTATATTCAAACTTTTGATTTTATTCCTTGACTTTTGAATTTGATATGTCACTTTTAAAATTCCAATGGGAACCAATTGTGCCCCTCTTCTTGCCGACTTGTTTCTTTATTATTATGAGGCTGACTTCATACAGGAACTTCTTAGGAAGAAAGATAAGAAGTTAGCAATATCCTTTAACTCTACGTTCCGCTATATAGATGATGTTCTCTCACTAAATAATACAAAATTTGGTGACTATGTTAAACGAATCTATCCCATCGAACTAGAGATAAAGGATACTACAGATACAGTTAAGTCTGCCTCATATCTTGACTTACATCTAGAAATTGACAATGAGGGTCGGTTGAAAACAAAACTTTACGACAAAAGAGATGATTTCAGCTTCCCAATTGTGAACTTTCCATTTCTATGTAGCAACATTCCAGCAGCGCCTGCATACGGAGTATATATCTCCCAATTGATACGATATTCCCGGGCTTGTGTTTCCTATCATGATTTCCTTGATAGAGGATTGCTGCTCACAAGGAAGCTATTAAGCCAAGAGTTCCAAATGGTGAAGTTGAAATCATCCCTTCGTAAATTTTACGGACGCCATCACGAGTTGGTTGACCGTTATGGAATAACCGTTTCACAGATGATATCGGATATGTTCCTTATGTCGTAACTATAATACCCTTCCCTTTTCACGAATGTGACTTACCGAATTAGACTATTTACCGGATTTGTAATAACATAAGCAACACGACGGGTGCCACATGTGGAGCAGGATCTGCTTACCCTTCCGGAGCACCTGAGATCACACAAGTTTTTTGTGGGGTTCGTGTTGCTTAGTCTTTAGTTTTCTTTGTTGTGTTTTGTTTTCTGTTATTTGTCTATTAGTCTTTTTTAGCCATGACGTTGTCCCTTTGGTATCTTTCGTGTCTCTTCTACGGTTTAGTCAACAATGTATAAATACTGGAAGTAGTGAAGCGCTATCATGATATCAGACGAGAAACATCAAACAATTACAATATGTTTTACAGAACGAGTGGGGTAGTCTCAACCAACAAAATACAAATTTTGTAAAACGGGACAAAAAAGATACATGAAAGGGTACTTGAAATGCAGAACCAGTCTATGTAGGAGAATCGGATTTTTAGCGGTGTAGCAGAAGAGTCTCAAGAAACTCTGGGAACAATTTCATGTTATACGTCGTACACCACGTAAGGACAGTTAGCCCCAAAACGGAGTGCAAAATTTGAGAAAAGAAAGGATAGAAGGCAGCAGAAAGTAAAATTAAAGGAACTTTAAAGAGGCGATTTAAAGTCCATGAACAGTCTTGGCCTAAAGTTCAGGCAACACGCAATAAACGTTGCTCCATTTTCCGTTTTCATCAATAGCAGGAGGACGCTGCCAAATTTTACGCTGACAAACTCATAGTTAATGAAAGGCAGATATATCTGTCTACTTATCACATACCCCGTGACCAAGTTTAAGCTCCCCAGCCAGTTTAATCTACTCGTTATCCTGCATTACAAATGCCTGCGCAACAGGATATGGGGATAAAGTTGTTTGCAAGAAAGCAGCGAAAAGTAAACTTAAATGACATTAAAGAGGGCGATTTCATAGTCCATGAACAGTTTCAGCATGAAATTATCGCATCACGCAATGATCTTTGGTCCATGTTCCGTCATTATCAACAGCAGAAGGTCGCTGTTCAAACTACCCGTTTTCCTCAATTACAAATGCTTCAACAACATGATAGTCAACATCAGTTTTCGCAACTGGCCAGTAGGTAAAAAATAGAAAACAAGACTAAGACATATTTTTTACTTGTTTGTATTTATACCCCCTTCCTTTTTATAATAGTGAATATATTTCTCCACAGATAGATGATGAGATAAAGAATGAATTTGTTTCTCTACAAAATGACTGCACCTTTTCATACGCTTGTTAGGATTTCAATGCAAGAACAGCTGTTTTACCATCGTTAATATTTATTGATATGCAAATTAGATACATATCTTACACGATGTACTAAATAATGTTAGTTAATATGTTTTCAACTTAAAATAATTGCTTGATATAATGTACCACTTGAAAGATTTAACAAAGATATGTAAAAGTCGAAAGCTCTATGACTATAAATTGATTTAGTTGTGTTAAAAACTTTAATTTTTTTTAGCAAATACGAAATTTATCATGACAGTTAAATTAGTAGAATACTATCAGGGGTTTGAAGCCTTATTGATTATTTGATTGTGTCATCTGACATTTTCTTAGACTTTAATTTCCTTTACTTTGGCCAATGAAACTACATTTTACTATGAAAACGTTACACTACAGTAAACACTTTTGAAAAACCTCTAAATTTAAACGGAAAGAATTCTGGAAGGTTTTAAAGAGATTTAGCGGCAAACGTAAATACAGTATATTCAGTTTGCATTATCTGTGTATGCTCCCGCCGCGAGCATGCTCGGCGAGGGGGACATTAAGTGTTACCCTTATCCGTCCGTTTGTTCGTCCGTACGTCCGTCACAATTTCGGTTTCCATTCTCTTACTTTAGTTTGCCTTAACCAAATGTTAAAATACTTATAGACAATGCTTATTACAATAAAAAACAGATCAAGCTCAAAGTTGGTGGCCACACTTATACAGTTCTCTAGTTATATCCCTTTATACCGTTATATGCAAGCCAGGCATCCCATGGGCACATTTTCGATTTATTTTTTATCATTTTAGAAAACTTAATATTGAAGAAAATCAGCACAAACATTATATTTTGAACAGACCAACATATGACAACGAAATCTTGTGCTATTAAAAATTCAAAAGCACCTGTCTGAACGATATTGTAAATAAATATATGAATATCAAATCCACGTCTGATTATATGATATCGATTCACACCAACATTTTTGATTTGATATTAGATAATGGTCTAATACAATAGGCATGGACCATACACAGTCATTTAAGCTATAATACAAAAACAAGTTGATCAAACTGATCCACACTCATGTCATCACCCTAGTATAAAAATCGGCAAACAGTTCACATTTGTCCTAAATACAAGACTTACAAAATTTGTCGATTATATCGAACTGATATTAAAATCACAAGCTGTTTTTTGGAAAGAATACAAAACTACAGATATATTTATTTGTGTAAGGGGATAAAGTTGTCTTGGACCTTGTCAATTATAAAATAGCTTTTGACACTGTTTGGCAGGTAGGTTAACGGCCAAAAAACATAGCTAGTTGAATTAACGGTAAAATATTGAGAGTAATAGTTAAAACGTATAAAGGTCTTAAACCTTGTATCGAAAATGCTAATGAATTAACTGATTATTTTAGTTGTGAAATCGGTGTACTCGTACGTCAAGGATAAAATAAATATTCCTTTTTAATGTCAGGAAGTTTTCACTGAAACTAAAGTTTCTAGACTAGATATGGTTACAAATTTTTAAACAGTAAACACTCAGTTTTATGCAAAGAGTTCAGAAAAAAATGAAAAATGTGTACACAAATTTGCGAAAAACTCGCAATTTTCTAAACTAAATGCCAACTCACAGAAGAACAACTATTTAAATGATTTCCCTATTTAGTTAGCCACAATATATAATTCACTAAATATGATTATATTAGCGGATATTTGTTGAATCATTCGTTTTATGTTTTGGACCAATACTAGCAAAATATACATCGGTTTTACAAATTTTGGCACAATAAACCGTTTTAACATTTTACGGAGTCGGTCATTGACTGGATATACTATCACAAAGAACGTTGAATTCATGTCAAAAGGGCACTGTTTCATTTGCATGTGATAAGCAAGAAGCAATTCGTAATTCGTTTCTAGAAATATACAATAAAAATAAAAGCTCAAAGTTGAAACTGAAATATATAGAGATTGACACAATCATCAAACCCATGTTACATTTAAAAATCGTCTAAGAAAAGGAAGATTGCTTACAATAATCATGATTATAGTTATTACTAACATTTGTAGTTATTTTCTTATTATCAAAATACCAGTATTATCCAATAATAAATTATTATCATTATTTTTTTTTTATTACTAATATATTCTTATTCTTATATACTGAGAAATTCGCACAATAAACTCAATGTACAAATATAGTAGCCAACAATTATCTGTTTCAGCGATTAAAGTATTAATATTACAAATTTCAGTGATACAAACACTAGGGTTAAATTATTATCAAATATTATAGAACAAATAAAACTTACATTGCGAATGAAAACCAATGGGCGTATCGTGTCGCTGTAGTTATGGTAAGAATAGTGAAGTTCTATGTTCATAAATATAAGTAAAGGTAACAGATGTTGACATCATTATCATTACAGGTAAACAATATATTTGTTTCCAATACAGTGTTCTATCTCATTCCAGGAAAACAGATAACATTTTACGAAACAAACCGATCCAAGTAAAATAATATGGTAACTACCAAATAAAGGTTACCTATTATTTGTCGCTATTGTGTGGATTTCAGAAGAGCTGGGGGTTAGGGGTTGTGTACGATACAACTGGTTGTCATTTTATTTGATGTTTAAAATTTATAGTTTTACTAAAAGCTAATGATGTACTGTATCTTCATGCAGAAAACCTGGAAGCCGGTATATATTAGATTAATTGAATCGTTACAAGATACAAGATATTTTTATTAGCCAATTATGGTGGTCATTACTAAGCATAGTAATCATTCATAACAAAACATAATGAATACATTAAACAAACTTAAAATCTTTGATTGACACTGATTAGTTAGCAAAATCCATATATATATAATTCAAACCAATTTACTGTAAGTTTTAATTCATGGTTGCCACAAACCACATTATGACACCACTTTACAAAATTTTGACATGTATAAAATATAATTGGTCGTCATTTGCCTTACCGTTATTATGTCAATTGATGTCTCGCTTGTTTAATAGGAACACGAATAATGCTACAAAAGTTAAATTTTATATTTAAAACATTTACATTGATGGGAACTTATAAATATATTCATAAGGAAAATACCATTATATTTTACAAGCTTTGATTTTATGCCAAAAGTATTTTACTTTTTCTTGAACAACAAATGTATTTTGATTAATGATTTTCATCTTACGGTGTTTATATATCCAACTCGTTCGCCATGCCCGTGTCTGCAGTGACTTTATAAATTTCAACGAACATTCAAAATAGGCGAATGATGCCAAAGGACTCTCATTATACGATGGGAAACTTACGACGCCTTGGCGGAAAACAAAAGACGACGAAAGACAAAGAAGTACACAAAACACTACACAGAAAACTAAAAACAGAATAACATGAACCCCAAAAAATGGTCCATGTTACACCACTGTCCCAGGTAAGGGAAATTTTGAACGCTTGCAAACATTTTTAACCCCACCACATTCTGTATATACCTGGGATTCAGTGGTTGCTGTTGATTGTTGTCTGTTATATTTGTTACCGTTTATAGTTGTGAACATAAACCAGGCTGATGGTTTTATCGTTTAAACTGTTTTAGATTTTTCATGCTGAAAAGCGTATCGGACACAACCTACTTACATGTATAAGGTTTTTTCCCCCCTGATTTATGAAATAATTCATTAATAAATGGTTTTCTGATATCGTGTTCGTTTTATAATTTTAACGGCCCTTTTTTGCAATTTCATTATTCTGGCAGTTGCAAATTTATTGGAATGTTCCATACGGAACAAAATTAGTCAAAATGTGGAAGAATCGATAGGCGATTGGGGCATGACACCGTTTGCTTCTTCGCGTATTTTGGTGTTTGAAGTTATTTCAGTAAATATTATTTAATATCTTAATAGATTTTCCCTTTACTTATGTGTACTTGCTCTTATCTATATGATTTTATAATGCAGTAGTTCATATATGCTCTCTATTATTATTTTTTTCCTCGTGACAAAAAAGATCGAACAATTACATATCATACACCTAGTAACCTTCAGCACATTTTATACACCATACATAATTTAATTACACATAAATTAGGACATGTTTCAACTACAAAAAGTTCACTACCTTTGGTTTCTGTTGGTTATCCAAAATTGACAATTTCTTATTACGGAAGTATATGTCCTACGCATGCACCGTATACTTTCTATATGAAATCCGCTTTATTTGAAAGGTTTCACGTATATATATATATTTTTTTTAATATTGGCGCTAGTAAAGCATTTGGTAACCTTTCATATTTCACGATTTCATGCATTGCATTCGGAGTCTGCGGCGTCGTTTGGGTTCTACGTCCGACATAAGGAGACGAAAGAATGATAAACGGTATAATTTAAAAATAAACTTTTAATTTTCAACTCTCACAAAGTTAAATTGATTATCGATTCGAAAGATTACAGGGAATGATATATGTGAGAACATCAGTAAAAATTTCAATGTCAATGTTTTAGACCCTATTCCATACTGATATTTGAATCAAATAAGATTATTTAGAAAACATCAAGTCAACACGACTGCATAGTAATACAAATACCGAGTAGCAAACATAATTATATAAGTCAAATTAAATGAAATCCAAGTCATCGAAATTATCAAAATGAGTGGAAAACAGAAACCAATATTTGGGCTGAAAAATAAACAGAGTGGGAAAATACAAAGAAGTATTCAAAACTAAAACTGTCGAACAACAGAAAATACAATGGCAAACAGTCGACGAAAGGCAAACACCAGTCTACAAACACTAAACAGACTACAGATTGCAGATTACAAATCCTATAAAAAAATCGGGGTTGAATACTTCGGAAAGGAGAGTAGCTAATTCTCAACTAGTTGCAACCGGCGTGTTTCATAAGGCGGGTTCAAATTATGTAATGTTACAATTGAGGAAAAGAAGACAACATTGTGGCTCCTTTGGGTAGAACGCATCCGTAGTCATCTGTGAAACATGTATTCTATTTCTATCAACCAAATCAAGCTGACGTCCGAAAAAATTTCGGAGGATAACTTCAACGTTTCAATTTGATAAGGAAGGCTCTGTTGATTCTTAAGATATCTAAAAAATCATAAATATAAAAGTACAAAACTACTCTGTTATAACAGTCTTAATTGGCAATGAATGACTTTCGATTGACTAATCTATTTTAAGAGTATCATTTATCTGGACTTTACTATGTACACATCATATCATCTGTCAAATTATGACTTGGCTTCGTGTACTATTAAACCACCGGAACATAATTAGTTCTCACTAACTGATGCACTTTTCACAGAAAGTGCCATTAGCCTGTAATTCATCAAATTAGTGGGATAAGATTGGATCTTCTTTCACGTTAAGAGGTTATTCGATATCAATTGTCAATTTTCGATTGTCTTCTGAAATTATTGACAATTTCATTTCAAGAGGAGAGTGATATTTGTTCGGATAATTACATAAATGAAATAAAACAAATTGTTGTTTCTGCCAAAGACCTCTTTATAACGAGACTATGCAGCACAATCATAGAAAGTTTTGAGTTTTTTTAAACCTGTCCGTTATAAAATCTCTTACGAATTGAAAATTTAATCTTTCAGACTAGTTTTTCAGTACTTATTAAGCTTAATTCATCGGTATTCTCTTAAAGAAAATCTGTCAAGTGTTTGACATTATTTGACAAGTTTTTTTCTGTACTTACTCATTTCTTAATCTAAAAAAACCCAATTGTATACCTTGTAATCAGGTTTCATCGATTATCATAAAAGCTTAAAAAATATAAAGGCATTTGACAGAAGAAAATTGTATTAAAAAAATATAAAAAAAGAAAAAATCATTGAAAAAATTAATAAGTTGATAAATAAATAAATTTATAATCGTATGGAGAACGTGCAACTTATTTAAAAAAGAGTGAAACCTAAGTGTTAAATACAGCTCTATAAGTATAAGCAACGATACTATTAATTACTATAAGAATATTATCTAGTCGGTCCTAACATGCTTCACCTTAATCAAACATTTAAGAATGCTTTCAATGTGAAATATGTATAGGATACATTTGAAGTAAATAATAAATTATGCATTTATTTTTGCATATTTCTCGGATGAAATCTTTTAGAGAAAATTCGCACATTTTTACTGAAAGTTTCAATCTGAAAGAAATGAAAGAGTTTGCTAAAATCTCTTATGAGTTATTTAAAACATATCACTTGACACACTATTAACATGATTAACAGAAGAATGCAGTACTATTCTTTAATTAATATTACATAATAATAATTAGAACTGCTAATTACTTGATTAGTCGCAGTTGCACCATGTTTTGAACTAGATACCAGTTAGCATATGTTTTATAATTTATATAAGGTATCTCTTAGTTGCATTAATTTCTTAATAAAAAGAATACATTTTTGTTGAAAAAATGGGGGACAGACTCAGAATTACGGCGACTTTTACTGCAAATAAATACAGACAATCAGCTAAAAATACCAAATATCTTCATGCATAAGTTCCTTAATCATAGTCAAGTTTTCATTTATTTCACACAATTGATAGTTTCCTTATATTGATATTAACAAAGACAATTTTGTAATAAAAGTCAAACTCCTTGATCAGTATATTTTTTTACAATTTCTTTCAAAAATCTTTATTTAAACGACAATTTTGCAAGGAATGTGAAAATAATACCGTTATATATTTAGAATCCTCAGTTTTATAACATTTAATGGCATAGCTAACAAATCCTTTGCCTTGTTGCAGTCTTTAATAATGCATCGATCCTACTATGATATTGCCGTACACAGTTATTGTTCTACTGAAATGAAGTTTTTTTTATGTATGCTTGTCAAATCTTATGTCGAGATAATGGAAATGTGCTTTCTAGTCCAGGCTAAAGTTAGAAATCTTTTTTAAAGCTATATATTCCTGTTTATTTTGTTATCTCGACAGCACTGATCCCATTAAAACTGACACATTTTAGAGCTGAGAGCTTTTACTAGAATGCTGTTTATATTTTTTATGTTCTTTTGTAAGTCGATATTAAAAAAGGGAGGATTAAGACACAAAGAAAACATAAAAGTTAGCGCCTTATAAAAAAATTAAGTTGAATAGAATATATTCCTATTAATTCAGGCCCGGTAACTGTCATTATTTATAGTTTACCTTTATAAAAATTTAGACATGTTTCTCCATTTATCAGCCAACATGAATGAATGAATGAATAAATGAATGAATGAATGAATGAATGAATGAATGAATGAATGAATGCATGAATGCATGAATGAATGAATGAATGAATGAATGGATGAATCAATGAATGAA